AGTAATTAAAGAGAAAGGAAGAAGAAGGAAAGAGGAGAAAACGAGGTATAATGAAAGAGCAAAAAGAAAATGAAACAGGAAACAAAGACAGTAACTAAAAGGTCGAAAATTGAAGAAAATAAAGAAGAAAGGAATAAAGAAGAATCGGGAAGAAGATAAAGGAAAGAATAAAGCAGAGGCACGTAAAAAGGAACACGGATAATTGGCAAAAGAGAAACAAAGGAGCAAGTATGTAAAGAGACAACGGCAGAAAAGAGAAACGAGGGAGGATACAGAAAACGAAGAGCAACGGGAAGAAGCGCGGGATCGAGATCGCAGGGCCGCGTGACAAACGATGCGCGCGCGGCATTCGAAAGATTAAACAGTCCTTTCGCGATAGGTCGAATCGAGAGGCTCGGCGTTAATCCGTCGGGGACGCGCGAATTAACGACAGCGATGGGCCGGGGTCGATCGATCTTAGTCTCGCGTCGGGACCAGTTGCCGCGATGAATTTCATTAAGAAAACCGGTACCAGACCGCCGATATTAAACGAATTAATTGCTGAATATGTAAATATATCGCCGGGCGAAGAAGGATCGAGCCTGAATATTCATGGATCTTCTTCCTTTTTCGTCATATTCCCCGCTTTAGATAACCAGATGAAGAGAGAAGGAGCGACGCCAACGAAAGGGGTTGGAGAACAGGGGAGAAGACAGACGCGAGAGAAACGATATTCCGAAATCGTTACTTCGAATCGGCAATTATCACTCTATCCGACGCAGTCGCTGATGTGCCACGACGACAAACGAATTAACGAGAAATCGCAGGGGACGAGATTGCTCGCCACGGAACCCGCCGATTACTTATTATTTATAAGACCGTGCACCTGGCGTAATCGCCGAGGACGTAAGTACACGTTTCCGTGCTTATTTACGAGCCCGACTCCTTTTCCCAACGATCTTCCAGCGGCTCACACTTTTCTCCTTTTTCGTCCTGCCGTATCTTTTCGCCCGTGAAAAGAAGGAAAAGGTTGCCGCTGCATCGAGACAGCCGATCAAAACCTCGGAAACAGTCGGGTGCTGCGGGAACTCACCGCGATCTAATTTAATTGGACGACAACGGGCGGCTGCAGCCTCTTCTTGCGCGCCGCTCGATTTACCCGCGGCTTTTCGTGTACATATTTATCGAGCGAGATTCCCGGCTCGTTCCCGTGCACTGACGAACGAGAGAACCTCGTGCAGGCGGCACTGGAGGATATTTTCATCATAGGAGTTTCAATTTCGTCGCGTTTACATTGTCTCCAATGCGAAAAAAGCAGGTTTGAATCTATCGTTTCGTTTCCTGTTAGGGATGTTAACAGTGAGTGTTGATCGTTCAGATTTTTCGGTATTTCTTGTAATTATATTTTATAGAAGGTTGGGAAATCTGGGAGGAAATCTTTTATCAAGTTGTAGAAAGTTGGACATTGCGGAAAGTGGAACGAAATAATTGAGTAACGGGAAACAATATTTCTGAGCACCGGAGTGTTTAGTTTTAAAGGACAAATCTTCTGTTGAGGCTCTACACAAATCTAGTTTCGTATAATGCATCAATCCGTGACAGATTCAAACGAAATACCTTTACTTCTTAAATCTATACGTTCCCGTTAATTAATTTCCAAGAATGATCTCTATATCTCATAGGAAAACATTTAATATTTCCAGTGAAAAGCTTTCAAGTAATATTTCAAGTAATAACATATATTAAAAGTATTAATAAAAGTAATAATATCAATAATTATTAATTACTTGCTATACCTATTTTTACGTAACACTATAATCTACTTTTCAAGCTACTGAAACATTTTTATTCGTCATTACTTATTTTACAAGTTATAATCATTTCGTAATTTGGAAGCTTCGGTAATCGGTGACCGTGACAGTCAACATGTTAATTAACGAAGCATAGAAAATTCCGAGTTCCGTTAGTACCGATCGAAACCAGCCGGACACGGTAGACGACCGATGCTCGAGGCCTCTTTCGACGGTTGCACGCGCGCGGAGATTGTACACAGGGGTTGTTCGGGCTTGTACGCGGGGTTGCGCGCAGGGGATGGGTAATGGTGGCCCCTATCAGCTCGGTACACTCTCCTCCTGCTCGCTCCGACAGCCGGCTCTCGAAAACCCCGTCAGGAGCAACGATATTCCGGTGAGTTACGTCGATGGTACCTGAAACGCGCGCCCCGGACCCACCACTTTGCATATTGGATATTCGTCCGGCCGGCTATTCGCCGTCTTCGATGAACCTCTCCGTGGACCAACGTTCCGCGCGATACCGGGGAACATTGTTGCTCCCCGGATTTGTCGTTTCGAGAGGTTTGGCTGGCCCCATTGGTTCCGCTGGAGGAAAAGGATTCGGAGGTAACCTATCGAATATCATTTATGGCCTAGAATGTATGGGTGGGCGTTCGGGAATATTTAGTGGCGGGGTTTATTTTGAATTGATTGTGGAATGGAGGGAGTTTGCAAGAGAGGTTTTTTTATATATGACTCGCTCAGAAGTCAATACGGTTAAGTCCAGAAAACAAACATTGAGGAGATTCATGATCTTTAATTTATTGGTTTTGAAAATTTCTGGTTTATTGATTTCATCAGAAAAGTGTATAAAGTCTTTTTTCGAAGGATAGGCTCTGTAGTAGTAGAATATTATTTATTTCATGAAAATTTACAAAAATCAGGAAAGAAAAATGGACTTAACATTGGTTTCTCAGCGACTTATATGTATTTTGCTTTCGTCGACTGAGATGGTTGGAAATAGGAAGAACGATTTAGTAGATTCGACTCTGTTATGATCAGACGTATTTGAAGTAATAGTGAAAGTTAAAAGATTAATGGAAATTAAAAGGAAGATATACAGAATTTACAATAGAGTTGATTATAATTCCTCCTGTCTAGAATAAATTCTAAAACTCCGGAATTCTCTAGTGTAATAGAACAACAAAATAACGTAACATTCAAATATTAACAGTCTCCAATATGAAAAGCAAACATCTAATATCAGTGAAATAACCTGACAATCACACTAACTCAATCATCAAAATCAAAGATAATAATTTAAAGACAAAATGATCAATAATTTCACCCAGACCTTAACAAAACTATATTTCCATTTGCAACTTCCCCAAAGCAATTCCCAAAAATCATTCACACAAACACACACACCCTCATCCAACAATCCTCATTCAAGACAACCAAGACTCAGTACAATGACAAGAGACTAGGTCGATCATCGAAACTAGAAAGGCGTTCCAGCGATCGCGTTCTCCTTCCAAGTACCTC